GGAAGAAAATATATAAATAGCGCACATGATAAGAAAACTCTCAAAACATTCAAATTATATAGAAGATATTTATATATTGATTTCATCATTTCTATATTTTATATTATTTTAATTAACCTAAGTTTTGCCCTTGTGTACTCGGTTCGACAAGGGGCCGACTCTGAGTAACTCAGCCAATATTTTCAACATTGATCACAATCCATTTTTGAGCATGGGAAGTGGAGATTAATAGTAACTGATGCAATTTATAAATGAGAACTAATATCCACTGGTTGTAGGTAATATAGTGGATAGGGGAAACAATATCATATTTATTACACCTGCTAGAATCTTAAGGGGAAGCATGTTCCAAGGTGAAATGTCCAAACCTTTTATCTTACCAAATGTGGAAAGTTTTATGCTTATGTAGAATGAATCATTCTAGACCCCAAAGGACTTTGACCGCATGCGGACAAAGTAGTAACGTTCCAACTCCTTTACAACAAGAATCTTTTCTAGTACTTGTTCCAATTCCTCTTAGACAATTTCATAGTCCTTGTGTTATTTATAAACATTTTTGTTCACACCTAAACCCTAGGTGAGAGGGTTATAGACATCCTCCACTACCTGGTTTGTGCCTATCCATGAGTCGAGATAGAAAGATAGAGAATGGGTTCTGTCAAATTATGGATGTAGAATACTAGCTTCACAATCTGTTTTCTATGGATCACAAGATTTTTTGAATTGAGCGGAAGCTCTGATAACAGTTGTAAAATTTTTCGATAGTGGAGCAAAACAACAAGGGTGTGAAGGATGAACAATTATTGTGCATACAATCCACGTAAACATGCACTAGAAACAAAATGAAATTTGAACAATATAAGAAAACGAAAAAACAATGAACCATCAAAAGACACAAGATTTAACATGGTTCACCACAAACGATACCAAGATCTATGGGAGAATGGTCTGAGGCTTTACTTACTTATTCAAAGAGATCACAAGAAGTAACAAGGTATGAAAGCTCCAAATTATAGCAGCTCTCGGGCCAAAAATAGGTCACCCGATACACTGATTCAGGGAGGCTACAAGGCGAAAACAAATATCGAAGACCTCCAAACAAGGGGTTTTTTCTCTCTACAAAGTCCCTTTACAGTACAGTCACAAAGACCCAAACCAATGGCTCCTTATAATTTCCTTTCTCTAGAACTGGGTTTACAACAAATCCACAGAAGAACTCACTCACATTATTTACTCTCCCCAAAACAGGGAAAAAGCAAGGCATAACGTGAGCTCCCTTTCTGTCCTCCTTTTCTCATACTCTTCCTCTTACTCACTCTTTCTCTTAGAAGAATTTCCTCTATACATGGGGCTATCAAAGCACCAGATTAGATCCAATCTAATGGCCTAGAAAGTACGATAGAGGTCAAAAGGAAACATAAATGAATTACCTCATTTTCACGAATTATCTCATTGTCGTAGACTACCTTCTTTTCACAATTAACCTCCTTTTCATGAATTACGTCATTTTCATTTTCACAATTACCTCTCTTTACTCTTTATAACATAATAAAATAGGACATGAGCTACGTCCTTTTCGGTCCAAAAACTGGGTAATTGCAAGGCCCAAAACAGGGAATAAGAAAACCCAAATTTCACATATGTGATTTGACATCATAAATGACAAGCCGGCTACAACTCACCAAAACCTTAAGTAGGAAATCTACCAAATTTCACATATGTGATTTGACATCATAAATAACAAGCCGGCTACAACTCACCAAAACCTTAAGTAGGAAATCTACCATTACGTATGCAATATCATGAATAAATAAAATTAGAAAAAAAATAAAACGATTGGCTCACTCTGGCTAAGCCCGGAGCCCGGCATCCAGAGCTAGGGCCTAAATCAGAATGGATGGATTTGTATGACCTCCAACTTGAAGAGGCGCCGATTAAAGTTGAACAAAAGTCATGTAAAGACTTGGAGACTAGGTTGTTAGACTAGAATTGGCTTGGAAAGTGGAGTGAAAGGCACTAAGGGTCCAAGGTCACCAAGACTTCGTTTCTAGGGTTCACCGTAGATTTGTGTTATGAGGGAGACTTTTGGTCTCCTAGGGTCACAATATGGTCGAGTCAAGGCTTTTTTGACACCTCAAGTCGAATTACTATTCCTAGTCTTAGGAATAGGGTTAGGGTTTTCCAGGGTTGAAGGGATGCAAAACGGTCAAAATTGTGAGAAGGGCTAAAGGGAGTCAAGAACTCAAAATACCAGAGTATCAACTTTAACAATGTTCTTCAAGGGGGGCATATACATAGAAGGGAAATTGTTTTAAGCGGCGGGAACCGTATTTCTACATTTGCGGTCTCTGGGTATAAAGCATCCATCTTGAAGATGGGTAGAAATAGTTGATCCATTTAAAAATAATTGAAACTAACAAGCCAAATGTTTTTTTAAAAAAAGTATTATTTTTAATTTTCAAAATTTATTTATTTTTTATATTTATGATCTCCATGTAGAAGCGGCAATGGAAGCGGACCTGCCGGGAATACCCGACATAAGTCCGGGTATGGGTCCAACATTTGAACCCGACAAGATGGGTTCGGGTCCAAAACCTTGACCCGAACACTATTGGGGTCCGGGTCCAAAACCTTGACCCGAACACTATTGGGGTCCGGGGTCTGTAATCAGTTGGACCCGACCCATACCCGTAAACTATTGAAAATAAAATACTTTAAACCCTATTTGTTTTGCAGGTGATTGTGACTGTGTTGCCAATAATGTGAGTATATTCTAATATAAAAAGGAAAAAAAAAACTCATAATGAAGGTGATAATATATCGCCCTGACCTGAGACCCGATAGGACCCGATGTTTCGGGTGAGGGTCCAAAACCTGGACCCCAATACTTTTGGGTCTAGGTCTGGGTTTAGGTTTGGGATCCGACCCGTTCCCACCCTATCTCCATGTTAAAGATTATATATCTTTAAAAAATTAAATCAAAAATCCATCTCAAAAATAAATTTTACCGTATCCTATTTTAACTGGCCTCTTCAAGTGGCGACTAATTGGGGGTCTTCCATATATCTGCAACGTGGCATCGTGTGCAACGCATGCAATAAGCATCACGCGCGAAATACTTCATATCACAGCAACGTGGTGGGCGCCAGTGAGGGTTGTAACCTTCCATACATCTCATATGGCTGTTTAGGGATGGGAAATGACCAATTTTTGGTTCGTTCATTGGTTTTAGGTCAGATTTGATGGTCCTTTAATCATTTTCATTGGATTTTCCATTTTACTATCTATTTTAGAAGGTCATTTTAAGATTAGTGGTAAGTAGGAGTTAATTAGAGGGTGACTAGGAGGTTTTATGATACCAAGGATTTTGTATTATGGGAAAAGGGCTGGGTCGTGGTGGTAGCATCCCACACTTTAACTTACCACATTGTGATTTTCATTCCTACTACTAATCTATTTGAAAAAACGAGTAGGAGTTTGGCTTTCTCATTAAATTACCCAAAAAAAAGAGGTTTAACTTCCCCATTAAATTAACCAAAAAAAGAGGATTTTCTATTCTAGTTATTAAGGTGTATGGCCAATTAGGCAGGTTTTCCTAATGGTCTGAGCTAATTGGGAAATTCCTTTTAATAGTTTAGGCTAATTTGGTAAGTTAAATGAATAGATTTCCTAACGGTGGGATCTTTTTGGTATTTCAGGAATTGACCATAAGTTTGAGATGGTGGACTATGGACTATTTAGCCAAGTATGGTCCGTAGGTTTAAGGTGGGATTAAGGTAATTTTTTGGGATGAAAGGCGGGTTTGAGTTTAGGGTCGGCCAGGTTTGGATCCTATGGTTTTTAGGGTTTGGGGTACCTAGAATCCCCTTACCCAAGAATAGGATGTCTACACAGTAAATTTTTTCCTTATCATACTAAGAAAGCGGAAACTTGTTACAATAATACCTCTCCAAGCACATATGCTCTCAAATTTGATACAAATCCTTTCCACTTGTGTTCTCATATAAAAAACAATAACCTCTCAAATCCCATAACCAATTAAAAAACATAAAAAGGAAAAAGGAAAATAGGAAAACTTTGTATTATATGATAATTTAGAGGGGGGAATTTGTACCCACAATCGCAGAAAATATCCAAAGCTTTGTAGCATTGTTGTGGCAGAAAAAGGTTATAATTAAAAGAAGATGATAGCTTAGATGGACATTTTTAAAAAATATTTGAATACATGTTACTTCTGTCTACATATACTGAACAGCAATTTGGGAAAGGGAATGTGGCATTCAACTAAAGTATGACCATACAGAGAGAGTAGCTTTAGGTAGAGTGCTAACTGAGGAGGATCCTACAAAGTAGGAGTTTAGGGTCCCCTACCTTTTAATCAAGGGAAAAATTTATATATAGCGTCTCATCTCAAAAATTTCACTAGAAGAGGTTGTTTTGATGCCAAAATATCTTCAAATTGATCATCTCGAAATCAAGATGCATAGACATGAGAAAAAAATGGATTTCAAGTTTTCAAAATCGTCTATTTTGTAACATATTTTTGTACTCAAATTTTTATAGATCTATCAATCTGCACTAGTTTTGAAGCATTAAACTTTATAAATAAAAATAAAAATATATTTTAAGGCTATTACAAAGATTTCCATTATCGAAACCACATTTTTTGACACTATTTGAAGGTAGGCTATAATTTGATTGTTTCAAACCTAGGCTCTATACAAACCGCACCCTTTAATCAAATCCAACCTCTAATTGGTCCTATAAGAAATACTTTCATTGTAATTAAAAGGGAAAACTATGGATGCCCCAGTTTGCACTTTCTTGACATCTTTCGCCCCCAACACTTTGATACAACACAATTAAATCCAAAACAGTTTTTTTTTTTTTATAGCTACCCCTCAAACATAAAAGTTGATTTTTTTTTTATTTTTTTTTTACCAAAATGTGCTAGACCAGCACAAGTTGGTCCAGCTTACAAAAGTTGGATGGTTTTTTTTACCAAAATGTGCTAAACCAGCACAAACTAGTCCGATATGTTTATGCCGGACTGAAAAATAACTTTTTAACTTGGAGTAGTTGCAAAAAAATTAATATATATATATATATATATATATATATTTGATTTAGTAGTGTCCTATCAAAAGTCTGATGGGAAGGATGACTAGAAAGTACAAATTGAGGGAATTTTTGTAGTTTTAAAATAGGAAATATTATGGGACAAAGAAACTCTTATCTTTTGACAAATAGGTAAAACAAAAAGCCTCTCATATTTGGGAAATTATTATTTTCATTGAAGACCTAAACCTTAATCCCTAAATTCGAGTGATCTTTTAATGAAAAAGAAGTTTTTCTGACATGTGCCTCTAGTTAATCCTTATTTTCGTTTTTTTTTTTTAAAATAAAATGACATGCACCATTTTAATGTTCAAGGAAATACGTTTATTTTTCACTTTAGAAAGCTTAAAATTCTAAAGTTCTCAAAACAACATCGCCTCCGAAGTACAAACCAATACAAACTTGGATCATTATTGATGTCGATTTATAAGACAATCACAGTACATTTTTATTCCCGTTGGGGTAAGCTCAAATAAGTTGGGCCTAGTTGAATCATGAACATGATTTCACTAAGGGAACTTTCTTACCCCTTTGAAAGATATCCAAGTACCGATATTACTTATAATATTATAAAGAATTTTGTAATTGTACTCAATTAAATTTTGGATATTTATATATTTTTGTTTTATAATATAATATTTTTTTAGTACTATATTTTTTATAATTAGTAGGGGTGTGACATCATCAATATGAGTGTGATGCCACCCATATAGAGCATTAAATATTATTAACGTGCTCATAAATATATAGTTATATTTATTTAAAAATTATTTAAGTATTATGTATTAAATATTATTTAAACAATAGCACTATGTGTCAAGTCGACATGGACCCCGACCTAGACCTGAATAGTGTTCAATGACCCTACCTCATAACCAGGTCCGGTCCTGTCGTCAGATCCCGGTTTCACCCCTAGCTAAGGCATTCCGCCCTCAGTGATCAAGAATAATGTAGTGATAAAAAAAATATTACAAAGAGAAGAAGTATATCCTTCTATTGCTTTACATGGTTTATATAAGGTAAATGCGAGATCTCATTATTTGTGGGATAGTGCAATGATCCAATATTTGTAGGATTGTGAAGATAACAAGAAATAAAAAGTTATAAAAAAATAAAAAATAGAACCCGCGACTACGGTACACGGTTTAGTCAAACCATGTGTGTTTAGATAGGAACAAATCTTCCAATATCTAGCCAACCCCAATTATTGAAAAAAGCATGTGATTATGAAAATGAATCTTTAATCCCCCTCTTTGAAATATATATATATATTCTAGAGAAATGATCCTATAGGACACTCCCCACCCATGTGTGTAGGACCCCAAAGGCTTTAATGGTGATCCTTTAAGGTCCTACGCACATGGGTGGAGGAAGGTCCTATAGGATCATTACTCATATTCTCGAATCCTTGAAGTTCCCGTCCAAAGTGACATATCTACCATTGCTGGGTCAGCTTGTTTGCGTTTTGAAAAACACTTCACATACTCGAACTTTTTGCCTTCATCACCCAAACTAATATGTCCACCCCTAAATAGAAGCTTAAGGGATTCTAGTTCCTCTATTTCAATTAAAACTTGTTTGGACTACTGTTTTTCATAGTCTGTAGGGACTACATGTATGCTCCGAAGACAATTATGCAGAAGCAAAGAAGACAGACAGAGAGAGGTTGCTACAAGTGAGAGAGAGAGAGGTTGGTTGCTTCCTGTGACAAGCAATATGTGTGTGAGAAAGAGAAAGAGAGAGAAAGGTCGGTTGCTTACTTTGAGAGCCAATGGATACTATAAGAGGAGTGAACAATGTGTAAAAAATTGGAAGGGAAAAGCCTGTTATAGAAAGAACCAGGAACACCAGTATGAAACAAGACCTAAAAGTCTCTCCTCCTCCTCCTTCCTCTTTCAATGTCTCATAGAATGAAGGCAGTGCCCTGGAAACCGAGTTGAAGTCATTCCCTGGGAGGTCATTCAAGAAGAGTTGAAACTCCGGCATTGGTTTTGAGAGTTTCCGGTATGCCTCGAATGTTGTTCGGGTGATTGTTGTTAAAGCAGAGAAGGTGTTGGGGCCAGAGGAGCAACCAAGGTCCACCATCCCTAAAATCTTAGGGTAATGGGTGGAAGCAAGCATATTCATCAATGCCTCTTCTGTTGTGGCCTTAACAGCCTCTAAACCTCTTTTCTGCACAGAGAGAGATCATGAGTGGATTTCTTATTTTATTAGATTTTCCATTTTCATGGCTGATCTAGTTTCTGTTCTCATATATTGATCGCCATTACAAATGAGAGAGAATTTTTAGTGATCAAATTCAGAAAGGAAATAAGAGAAACCTGAAACAAAGAATTCTGAGCGTAGCTTGTCTTGCCCGAACCTTCATTCATGTGAAATAGATTAGACACCTCCATCTCTCTCTCTCTCGCCCGAACTTTCATTCATGTGAAATAGATTAGACACCTCTCTCTCTCTCTCTCTCCAAAGCCTTCAACTTCCTGTTATATAGAAACAAATCTACCCTATTGTTAGGGTTTCTTTGTTGTATTTTCCCTCCGTGGACATTGACCCAGTAAAATTTTCAGTTTTGTCCAAGATTTGAAAAAATTTATTATGATGTTCTCCTTTTTCTATGTTACTCCATTTTTTACCTTTTTCCCGTTTTATATTGAAAAAACAAAATAGCATTTGTGGGGTGGTTTAATGGTTAAGGTATTGGACCCCTCCATTTTTTAGTAATCCGATAATAGGAACATCAGGTGTAATGTTTCATTGACTTGCCCGCTTTTTTTTTTTTTTTCCCGAGCAACTCTCTGATAATTGGAACATCAAAGTGCCCCATAAAAAAGAATATATTAGATCTTCGGGTGATTTGATGTTGCCATTATCCAACCATGTCAAGAACTTATTAGTTCCATATCTTATCCATCAGATTGTTCCCTAAATGCAACAAATAAAAAATAAAAATGCAACTGTTTTATAATTGAAACATCAAAAGGCAAAACTAGATTAAAAAACACAAAAATGAAAAACCTCACAATAAAATTGATAAAAAAATGGACCAAGGGGTAATTCCATAAATTTTATACAGTCCAAACATATATTTCCTTTTCATTGAAAGCAATCAAATTAACGCCTAGCTAGTTCTCATTGTTTTTAGCTACTATGCATATTTTTCACTTAAATAAATAGGAAAAGGGCTTAGACAATCTTACAAAATCATTAGAGGGTAAAAAAAATTCCATTTATCACTTTAGAGATTACTTTTTAAATTTTATTTCATAAAAATACTTCTTCAAAAAAGTTAAAAGTTTCCAAAATAACTCATGATCCCGGTTAGAAATCGTGTGCAATTAGAAACATTTTAGTAATTTATCTCCTTAAATAGCTCCGGTCATCACATACCTCTCTGTCTAGTGTTAGGTACGTGAAATTAGATTGACAAAAATTCCCTGAGTTCTATATTGCTAAACCTTGATAATAGAGGTTTTTGGTATTTTAATTGTTCCTTGTTCCAACAAACTATGGCTACTTTTTGTTGTTTAAATAGCATTCCTCAAGTTGGCCAAATCACTAAACTGCCCTAGTTACTCGGGATTTCCAACCTTACCTAGGAGTAATATCAAAACTTTTAAACAAGTTTTTGGTGAGGTACTTCTTATATAAGAGGTTTTAGGGAGAAAATATCTCCTCAAAACAATTAGTGAGGATCTCCCATGTTCCTAGGTTATGAGGGCAGTGGAATAATGTACACCCTATAAAGGAAAGTTCTATGCAACGGTTATAGGCAAAAGTGAGTAGTATTTTCCCCCATAGGCTTGTCATCATCCGATTTTTTTGGATGCTGAGGAAAAATCGACCGCCACTAACCTACTATATTCATGGCGGTTGATTTTCACGTTAAACCATAACGACAACAGACCTATTATATCTGTTGAGAGGTGAAAGAACTATTCACTTTGCCTATAGGCATTGGAAAGTGTTTTTCCCTTATAAAATATCGTTAATTAGGTCATAAGTTAGCACCATGATACGGCTAAAGTGCAAGGGTACACTAATTTAGTGAGAGCAACACACACAAAGAGATAATTTAGTGAGAGAAAAGGGTGGGAGTCAATCTCAACCAAAAGCAAACTGCTGTAATTTTCATTCAAAATTCGTACTCCCTATAAACTCAAAATCTAAGTCTACATGCTTCTAAAGACCCCCTAATAAAACTCATAAAACATGCAAAATTATCCTAGTACCTATGCAACATAAGTTTCAATACAAATTACAATAACTTCAATGCAAGAATCTTAGTTTCCATACATATTCAAAGCTACCCAATTTCCTACAAAAAGCACAAATTCCTAGTGCAATCTTCGAAATTAACTCTTATTGGGACCCTCTTTCGCCCCATTCAAAGGTTATGGGAACTAGTGGTCAAAATTGGACTTTTGGACTAGTGGTCTAAATTGAACTTTTGGGTCTCAAGTTACCTACATTATCCTCCCTGGGATCGAGAGAACTTACCCTCGAGTTTGTATTCGAAGCACGTTACCATGCACACATCTCTTATCAGAAACATGTTACCATGTACACATATCTCATTAGAGGGCTGTTTCCATGTACATATATCCTATCAGAAGCATATTACCATGCACACATATTTTATTAAATGCATGTTGTCATGCACACATATCTTATCAGAAGCATGCCTCAAATGTAGTTACAAGAAACATCAACATTTCTATGTTATGCATATAGTCACAAGAGACATCACTATGTCATACTATCATACATATAAATTCAAAAGATTTTATTATGTCAATTGCAAATCATATATCAATGTAGTAGATATCAGGAAACAATCATGTTGTATTTTCAAAATATTCTTGAATTCATTAATATGAATTTTCATGAAGTGATTCACAGTAATTATTTACACATAACACTTGCACATAACATTTACATATAATACTGGGATGAGCTCAACCAGCTCTAATGACAAAGGCCATGTCTTTCCCACTAATCTTAGTGGGAATAGGAACCGACAGTTCCTCGAAACGCTCAATCGTGAAAGCCCTCTTCTTCAACGTCTTCATGGTAAATCAAATGAATCAAGTTTCTCCTCTTTCACTAGTCCCTGCATTACATTTGTCCAAAAAATTGCATGAATTTATTATCATTAAGAAAATTTTACGCTTTTGTGAGAGCATGTTAGATTCCCTTCCTCTGGTAAAACCCGCTCACGTAGTAACTTTAGGGCCTCAGTATTGAGGATGTGATCTTATGAATATAGCGAACATCGTTGAAGGAAAATATTATTATGTGCGTGAAAAGTGATGTTTTGAGATTGAATAGACCATCCAACGTTTTGAAAATTGGATCAAAAGTGTCCAGTAACCCACAATCTAAATTTTTGAAGTTTCAAATTTTATAATTTAAGACAAACATATATTTTAAGGCTAAATAAAGATTTACAATATTAAAATTATATTTTTGGCACTATTTGAAGGTGGGCTCTAATTTGATTGTTTAGAGCCTCGGCTCTATCAAACCGTACTTATATATATATATATATATATATATATATATATATAGAGAGAGAGAGAGAGAGAGAGAGAGAGAGAGAGAGAGTATATATATAATAATAATATAAGTAAGAAATAAGTAAGTAAGTAAATTAAATAAAACTAAAAATAAAAAGTAAAAGTAAATAAGTA